AGGTGGTAGTTTCTCAATGACTTCAATCTTCGCTCGATCCACTTCAATTCCATTCGCGGATATCCGATGACCTAACACAATCCCATCTCGTACCATAAAATGGCATTTTTCCCAATTTAACACCAGGTTAGTGTCAACACATCTCTGCAAAACATTAGATAGGTTAGTCAAACAAACATCAAAAGAATCACCAAAAACAGAAAAATCGTCCATGAAAACTTCAATGCACTTCTCAACCATATCAGAGAATATTGAGATCATGCAATGTTGAAAAGTTGTAGGAGCGTTGCACAAGCCAAAAGGCATTCTTTGATAGGCAAATGTTCCGTATGGGCACGTGAAAGTCGTTTTCTCTTGATCTTCTAGCGCTATAGCAATTTGATTGTAGCCTGAATATCCGTCTAGGAAACAATAGAACTCATGGCCAGCTAACCTCTCTAACATTTGATCGATGAATGCCAATGGAAAATGGTCCTTATGAGTCGCGGAATTTATTTTGCGATAGTTGATACATACTCTCCATCCGGTGACTATTCGTGTTGGAATCAGCTCTTTGTTATCGTTACGGACCACTATCATTCCTTCCTTCTTTGGCACCACTTGGACTGGACTTACCCATGCACTATCCGAAATTGGATATATAATTCATGCATCTAAGAGCTTCAATACCTCCTTCTTGACCACTTCTTGCATTGATGGATTCAATCTTCTTTGTGGTTGGATGGTAGGCTTATAGCTCTCCTCCATTAGGATCTTGTGTGTGCAAATTGAAGGACTGATACCTTTTATATCCGCAATTGTCCATCCAATGGCCTTCTTGTATTTCCTCAATATGCGCAACAACTTTTCTTCCTCTACAACATTCAAAGAAGCATTAATAATGATTGGAAAAAATTTACCCTCTTCTAAAAATGCATACCTTAAATGAGATGGTAGTTGCTTGAGCTCAAGTGTAGGTGGCTTTGTGATTGGTGAAATGGACTGAGACACCATGGCTCCAATTTCTTTGATCGATTTAGCTTCAGGACGAACCGAGGGTGGTAAAGCATTTAAGTACCTTAAACACTCTCTTATCTCTTCACTATCAACTTCATCTTCATGATCTCTAGAATTCATCAAACAATTCTCTAAGGGGGAAATAGGGTAGCTTTCTTCAAAATTCTGCTCCACTATGGTGTCGAGAACATTAATCTTACAACATGTGTCTAATTCAAATAGGTGCTTCATAGATTCAAAAACATCAAATTCTACTTGCTCATCTTTTACCCTTAAGATTAATTTCCCTTGGTGGACATCTATCAATGTTCTACCCGTGGCTACAAAAGGTCGTCCTAAAATTAAAGGTATTTCCCTATCTTCCTCCATGTCTAACACTATGAAATCTACTGAGAAAATAAGTTTGTCTACCTTAATCAAGACGTCTTCTACCACCCCCCTAGGATATGTTATTGATCGATCAGCTAATTGGAGAGACACGGTGGTTGGCTTCACTTCTCCTAATCCAAGTTTCCTGTAAATGGAAAACGGCATTAAATTTATACTTGCCCTTAAATCACATAAAACCTTATCAAAATAACAACTACCAATAATACAAGGGATAGTAAAACTCCCTGAATTTCGTAGTTAAGGTGGTAGTTTCTTTTGAATCAGCGCGTTACATTCCTCCGTTAACATAACTTTCTCGTGTTCCTCAAAGTTTCTCTTATGCGTGAAGATCTCCTTCAAAAACTTCGCACATTCCGGCATCTATTCTAGCATATCAACAAAAGGGATATTAATATGTAAACTTTGAAACATATCAATAAACTTACCGAATTGCTTGTCAAGCTTCTGATTTTTCAAACGTTGTGGGTACGGAAGGTTTACATGGCTTAAAGAAAGTTTTTGCTCAGATTCACACTCGCCGTGTCCACCAGATTTATCGCCATAGCGACTAGTTGCAACTTCTGACGATTTGGGAGCTATTTCACAATCGCTGTGGCCACCCGTATCATCACTGCGGCGATCGTCCTTCATGCTGACGAGCTTCTCCCTCGCTGCGGTGATAAATTTGCTCGCCACGGCTATCGTTCTTCTGCTTTCCTTCAAATCTTTCTCTTGTTCTTGCTTCTGTTTTTCACCCTCTGAATTCTCCAAAATTCTTCCACTCCTCGAGGTAATTGCATACGCTTGTTCCTTGGGATTTTTCTTTATATCGTTCGGCAAAACTCCTTGAACTCTTCCCGCTAATATGTTATGAATTTGCCCAATTTGAGTCTCAAGGTTTCTAATAGAGGCTGGTTGATTTTGGGCAAGGATGTCAATCTTCTCAAACCTCTTGCTTGTCTCTTCAATGAACTTGGTAAGCACATTCTCCAAGTTAGATTTTGGCTCTTGAGTTTGAAAAACAGGAGGTTGTTTATGCTCGTTGTTGTTGCTCCACGAGAAGTTCAGGTGTTTCCTCCATGCTGGATTGTATGTGTTGGAATATGGATTCCCTTACCCCCTTTGGAAATTATTGACATAATTAGTTTGTTCAGGCTAAGCAAACAGGTTCTTTTCTTGACAATCCTTGGATAAATGATTTCCTGCACAGAGGTCATATGTTAGAGAAGAGGATTCAATTGCATTTATCTTTAATACATTACCTAATTGCCTCTGGATGTTTGAAAGTTGAGCAGCCAATGCGGTGTAACTGTCAACTTTGTGCACTCTCGCTGTAACGCCCCACTTGAGGTACGTAGTTAATGCTTCTTCTTTTGCTCTTTTTGAGTTGATTCATTATTGTTGGGTTGGCCTTTGAGTGATATGTTGAACACTTGCCTTGATATTGGTTGAAAATAGAAGAAGTTTAGTGTTTCAGTCTTCGCCGGGACGAAGAAGAATCTTCGCCGCAACGAAGAGGTGTTGAAGCCACGGGGAAGCTGTTGGACAGTTTTGCCGCGACGACATGCCGACCAAATTGTTTGTTAAGTTTTAGATATTTTCTTCCCTAAGGACAATTTGACCAATCTACCCCTAATTAGCAAGAAAAGTAGGGAGTAAAATGTAAGGAATTTTCATGAAGAATATGTTGTTATGGGGGTGTGTTGTAATGAATCAAAGGATTTAAATAGAATTCCCAAAGAAGAGTAAGGGCAAAATGGGAATGCTTGTGTATAAATTTCATTAAAAGGAATTAAGTCATTGCAAACCCTTCATTCTTCTTCTTCATCGCCACTCTCCTCTCTTACTTCCTCTCAATTTCTCTTTCTTTTGATCAAGGAGTTTTGAAGGGCTTTTGGAGTGATTTGGGGTAGAAAATCAATCTAAGGCATCTAAGGTAGGATTCGTGCTTTGGTTGTGACTGTGTGAGTTTTTGAATTATTTGATTACTTGAGGTTTTTTGTTCAATTGTTTAAGAGTAGAGAAAAAGTCAAACAAACCAAGTGAAGGAAGAGCTAGTGAAATCTCTCCATAACAAGGTAAGTAATCCAACCCAAGTTGAGATTTGAGAATTTTCTTGATTAGGTTTTGATAGCAATTTGTATTATGTTGTATACATGTTATTGAGTCTTAAATGGAGATTTCTAGTGCTTGGTGATTGTGTATACATTTCAAATATAGAAGTGAGATGTAGGTTGGAAATGTGTTGAGATGGAATTGAAGGATATTGAGGAATCCTTTTTGAAGTGTCTTTCTTGGCAGGATTTATGGCTATGTGAGGGGTTTCCCCATTTTGGATGGTTAGAGAAAGACTTAGAATTATTGTTATAGTAGAGTTTATTATGCACTTAGTTGTTTGATGAAATGCCTAATAGAGGTTTGAGTATGAGTAGTGAACCTTAATTCTTGCAACATTGCATGTTGGCATTTCATAAGTGCATTAGTGGAGATGAACCATCCATAGGCATTAATTGTGCATTGAGAAATGACCTAAGAAAGAGTAGGAAACTTTGTGTATGCACTTGCTCTTTAGTAGAGAACTTTGTGGATGCAACACTCTACGGGTAGAGAGAATGAGAAGTGCTAGAGTAGAGTAAATGAGAAGAGTAGTAGAAATGGGTTGATGCTTTGTGATCATCACCCGACAGTTATGAGAATCAGGTGATGCTTTGTGATCATCACTCGACTAGCCATTAGAAATGGTTGAGCTTTGTGATCATCACCGATAGGTAGTAGAAACGGGTGGAGGCTTTGTGTATCATCAACGGGTTAGTTCTAAAAAGGGTTGATGCTTTGTGACATCACCGACATTTATTAGAAGTGGGTTTGATGCTTTGTGATCATCACCCGACAGTGATTAGGAACGGGTTAGTGCTTTGTGATCGTCACCCGAAAGTCATAAGGAACGGGTAGGTGCTTTGTGGTCTCCACCCATAGTTACGAAAACCGGTAGTGCTTCGTGATCCCCACTCGGTAGTCACTAAAACGGGTTGGTGCTGTGTGAACTCCACCCGACAGTCTGAAGAGTGAGATGGTCTGTGGTGAACGCATCCGGCCGTCCTCCGGTAAGATAGCCATGACGTTTAGTAGGAAACAACCGAAAATGTGAGGAAAGAATTAGAGAAATACATATGGGATAAAGAGAAAGGGTTTTTACTTACTGAGCGTTTTTTGTTGCTCACCCCGTTATTTCCTTTATGATGCAGGATCTAGGTATGATGCAGTCGGAGGGGCGTCGCAAGCAGGAGCAATAGCTACACGTGTTCCCCTGTTTTTTGTCTTTTAAAATGGTTTTTTTTTGTAATGATGCTCTTTGTGTATAAAAGACGTATTACTTATAATAAAAGAAAAGTTTTGGGCCCATTTTCTATTGTTATTATGCATGCATTGTACTAGATTACAGCAGTTGTTACACTCGCTGATTTCCTTTGAAGTTCTCTCCAAGTCCCATAGTTTTACTGTTCGCCTCACCTCAATCAGATTGTATGCTTCCTCTGGTGTTTTATTGTTCAAGGCTCCCCCCTTGCAGCATCAATCATGGCTTGAATAGTTGTAGCAACCCTTAGTAGAACGTTTGCACTTGCGACCAAATTGGTAAATCATGGTGAGGGCACCTCCGTAGAGAGCCTTATATTTCCCATGCTTCATACAATGACTCCAATCTTGTTGGTAGAAGTTGGTAATCTCACTCCTCAGCTTGTAGATTTGGCAGGTGGAAAATATTTAGTGAGGAACGTTTTAGCTAACTCACTCAATTCATGATACTCCCAAGTGTAGAGAAATCAACCAAGCCTTAGCTTTATCCCGAAGAGAAAAATGGGAAAGCCTCAGCCTAATGTGTCATCAGATACCCATTATGCCTGAATGTGTCACAACTCTAGAAAGTTGGCAATATGCAGGTTTGGATCATCATTAGGTACCCAGCGAATTGGATCGATTGCTGAATCATTTGAATAATTTCTGGCTTGATCTCAAAATTATTCGCTTGAACTGGTGGTTTCCTGATGCTAGAATAGCACCCTCAACAGTAGGACTAGAGTAGTCCTCAATGCTCTTCGACCCACTACTGCTCCACCATTGCATTTCCTCCTATGGTATCCTTATTCTTATTCTCTTGATTTTCCACATGGGATTTACAATTCTTGTGTTAGCCATGTTAGTTTTTCAAGTTAGCTTACCTCTTTTCTTTCCTCAATTGTTTACGCGTTCTCTCGATCTCAAAATCTAGTGGATTAAGATCACCACCACCTTTTGAACATAAGCTCTCCAAGTTCTAGCTAAAAGAAACACACAAACAACAAAATTAATTTTCTAAGCAAAAATACACACATCAAATTAGCAACTAAATATTTGTATGATATTGGTAAAACAAAATAGTTCTCCGGCAACGGCGCCAAAACTTGACAGCTATTCGCAATTATACGAAATCGTGCAATAATAAAGCCTCAGTAAACGAGTCTCAAATCCTCCAAGGGAACTACCTACCAAGTACCAAACTAGTCTATTTGTACTATTTGATGAAACAGAATTTTAAGAATAATTAATGAAAAAGATAACAAACTAAAAACTAAACAAAAGCAGAATTTTATGAATATTTGGTAATAGACCAATATGAGACCAATGACTAAACCTAGGGCATAGATTCACACCAATTTAATCCTATACATTGACAATTATTGCTAACCTATAATCTTAGGCTAAAGCCCAACTCCCTGATATTCACTAACTTTCTCTCGAACAATTAGCGAATTAACCCTTAAGCAATAACCCAAAATATCTCTAAGTTGGATTTAGGAGCTAAGAGATCAATTAAGTTCTATGGATTTACTAGAGCCTCATAGATCGCGGTAGCCTCTCTAGCGTTTGCTCAATCTATGGTTTTATTATCTTAGACAAATCAGGTCTCATCTCTCGATCTCCCCAATCCCTGATATCTCAACCCTCGGATCCTTAAGAATTGAAAGCATTACCATAATAATAAACTTAGAATTAATGCTCAATAAGAATTAACAACAATAAAGTCAACACATATCCATAAATTGGGCTACATCTTTAGCCCTATAAAAGGGATTTAATTGCAGTAATAAAAACCAACCATTGTATTCAATAACAGAGTTCAAGAAAGAAAAAATACTAAAAATATTTTCTATGGCGACGAGAACTGCAAGACATTCCTGATCTCCAAAATAGTAGCCGTCCTTTTCTTCTCCTTCTCTCTCTAATCTCTTAAAACCTACTTAAAGACCCTATTATAGAGTGCTAGGTTTGGTGTTGCTTAGGAAATAATAAATGCTTACCCATTCAGATTCAACTAGGAGAATGCAATAACCCAACAGGCCATGACCACGTTGCGGCATAAAAACGGTCGGTGCGGCGATCGTTATTTCATCCCATGAGTCCGTATCTCTAGAATTGGTAAATTCATCACATGAACCTTTGTAGCTCTTGAATAAGTTTCCAACAGCACCAAATACGTTGAATTCCATTCCGAAAGCTCAAGTTATGATAGAAACCTCGAAGCATTCATCTTGAAGGATTTCCAGATTTTTACGTTGTATATTCGACGCGTCACACACTTTCCTCGTTTCAACTCAACTCCGATTTCTTGCACCGTTGGTTCCACTTGTCATGAATTTCCTCGACATCATTCTTTTCCTTCAAATATCGGTTTTTGAACCGGAAAATAACTCAAATACACCCTTGATCCCATAAGGTATTTAGGAAAGAATGTAATTTATAATTCCACAACTTAAACACATTTTCCCACAATAATCCATTAATCACTAACAAAATATATCTTTCAAGCTCTATCAGTCCCCGAGTCGAGTGGTCCGACTAGTTGGTATCAATCGTTCGGAATTTGGTGACTTAACATATCCGACCCTTTGAAACTGAATAAACCTAAACCCTTGATAAATCCAACAAACACAAGCCTTGTGGTCCCCGGCTAGGAAACCTTAACCGTGCAACTACACTCCACCATAGATCAGCCCCAACCGTCAGAAAAACCACACCAGGCCACCCAAAAACTCTAATTCACCATAAAATACCATCATCCGCCACAACAAAAAGTTATAAATCCATGTCCCAAATGCCAACATCAAACTCTCTAATCACATATCAACTCGAAGGCCGAGTGAAGTGCGACCCGCTAGAGTCGTGGAATGGAGGGTCGGTATGCGTGATTGTATCAAGGATGCACAAAGCCAACATACATTCGATGAAAGATTAAGAAGGAATAGGGATTCTTGTTCTTTAGGGAATTTGTAGTGAACCGTGTGTAGTCATCATTTTCCGGATTTGAACTGAACCGGTCAGTGTCTTGCCTTGCTGGTTTCAACCTAGGTTCCAATTCCCAGGTTAATTAGCTGCAAACCGGGTTTTAGGGTTTCCTAGACCAAAAGAAGGAGGTCCAATGGCCGGTCTGGGTTTTAAAACATGGGTTTTTGTATTGACAAAATAATTAAATTGATTCATTTAATTTATTTTTAAGATACCAACTATTTCAAATACTAATTTGTTAAATAATATTTTTATTTTAAACCCATGTTTTTATTATTTACACATCTTTTTTATAGTCCCGCAATACATAAAAAATAAACAAACAATCAAAAAAAACAGTTTTTACTTAACTGAATTTAAAATACAATAAAAAGAACAATTCTATTACAAAATCATGAAAAAAAAATTCCCTTAAAAGTTTATGTTATATAATCATACTCCACAAGTTATTGGTGAAATACTTTTTAAACTGACAAAAATAGTCTCCCTATATCATAATGAAAGGATGCAAATTACACATTGATTTACACAGCCCGTTCCTACCATGCACATGAATGATAAAAAATTATTTTCGTCTACTTACCAATTTGTATGTTGTTAAAAACAAATAAAAAATTGGTATGTTTACCAATTATGTAAATAAACCATGTGACTAGCGTGTCAAACAGATGAAGTCAATCTTTGGCCTTGCTCTAGACCCCACCAAATCACCCCATGATCAAAATTTAAGATTATTTTCCTAAGGAAATATAGGAAATAGTAGTCTTTAGCTTTCATGGTTCTATTTCTATTTTGTAATAAACGTTTTCCTTCACTCAACATATGTGTCATCAACTTCTTCAAACTTCCTCCATTAAACGATTGTTTTGTTTACTCAAGATAAATGAAATTTGATTCATCTTAAGGACAACCCCACTTTGCTGCGTTTCCAAGTTCTCTTCCTTTTAAAGTTTGACGTGGGGTTCACGTGGCTCTGCTTACTTGCTGTAAGTCGATTTTTCAGAGAAAGAACCTTTATGATTATCCTCTTACCCCCTAAGATTTTATGGGGTTTTCATTTTTATTCCAAATAATTGGGAGAAATTGGATTTCTAGGAGCAAATCCAAATACACAAACGTAGCCACAGATGGACGATAAAGTGTTTTATTTTTTCCACTCAAATAATTGGTGCGAGTGATCTTGGGGAGCTTTGTCTGAACGTGGGTTTGTGTGTATTTATTACAACATTCATAAATCCAAAAGTCCATTAGTGCAACTTTTGTTTTAGCCTTTATTAGAGATGTCCGTGTCATTTTATCACATTATTTTATTAAGAAAATTCAACATATTATTTGTGTACGTTTTTCACAAGACTAATAGGTTTGTTTGGTGTCGGGGGCCAATAAAATGACAGGAGTAATCCTTCCGGTTTATTTTTTTTGTACAGATGTCCATGTTTTGGTTTAAAGTTAATAAAATTTACGGGCCCATCTTCTATTTGGCATAAATTAATTTACTGTTTGTATAATATAGGGGATAATCCGATACCTTCCCCCAGGCCTGGGTTGTATTAAAAAATTACTCTGTATTTTGTATTTTTAAAACCTATTTTGTTTGCCCACGTTAATACATTATCCCTTGTTGGACATAATTTGCCCTCAAATGTACCCCCCCCATGTCCCAACTAACCTTGCCGCGCCATCCCCCCACCATTTGTAGAATTTAGCTAAAACATCTCACCTACAAAAACAGTTTAAAAGTTTTACCAAAATCCTACCCAGCGCACCCAACCACCACCGCAATCAGATTGTCCGTAATGGGCCAAACCCGCCCCCGGCCGGGATTAAGTGCCGTTCTGCATTGGTAGGCCGTTTCCACCCACATCTTTTGGCCTGGTGACAACGGCTATGGATGTTGTTGATACCTGCCCAGATTGGCCCCTTTTAACCGAACGCCCAGCCGACCCATATACAACCAGTCCGTGTGCCATTTCGTCGACTAACCGTGTGGCTTGGTTTCCCCGGCAGTGACTTGGGTGGGGTGGGGGGTGATTTTACTACAAATTTAAAAGTTATTGATATGGTTTTTTGAGATATTTTTAGCAAATTCTTTAATGTAGAGGTTTAAAAGAAATAATTTTTCAAATGATACTAATAAAAATAACTATTTATACTATTTTTAAAAAGAAGGTAATTTAGTAAACCTATAACATACCCACCCCATGTTTCTTTACTAACCAAACACTATTTTCACCAATTTATCTCCGAAACCAATAAACCTTTTTCTAAACCATTTCCAGTAATTTTCAGATAATTTTATCGTTTTACCCATTAATTATATAATACCCCTATAATAAAAACATATATGCAATCCCAAAGATCCCATAACTTATATTATTTTGATTATTTATATATTTAGGGCAAATAATTTCTTATAT